AACATATACAACGATTAGGCTCACAGCAGACAGAGAAGCTGTGACAGACATGGCTCTTAGCCCCTACTAAATAGCGTGATGCACACACCCCAACATCCTAGGTGGGAAAATATTTACCCTAATAAAAGGAATGTCCAGTAGTCGAAACTTATTGTTTCTCTCCCTTGCAAGCGTAAACTACTCTTGCGAGAGCTGGCATCGCCCAAACCCAATTTGGCATAAGAAAGGAGAAAGAGAATAAAGGAGTACAGAGGTATAAGTATGGGACCTACAGCACCATGATTTTTGAGTGCTTTTCACTATCTATCTGCTGGTCAGATAAGTGACAGCCTCCCAAGGCTTCTGCAGCTAAGAGGGTCCCTAAGCCTTTTCCCTTATTCGTCTTTCTGCGGAATTGAGTGACCGATCCTGGCTTGGCACCGCTGGAATTGAGAGATGCAAGGAGGGTAAGAAGCACCCACACCTGATCTCCTATCTTTAGTGTACACATATTTTGAAATGGAGCTCTATACTTTGTTTTCTTTCTTTGGGATTGTGGCTTCCATTTTGTAACTTGTTTGTGTGTGTAACATCTCTACATTTAAATAAGTAGGCACTAGCAATTTTGTAACCACATGATTAGAATCTAGTTTAATAAATTTTGGTAACCATTTGTGCATAAGCCTGACTTGTTTCTCTGGTTTACTGTAAAGCAGCCAACACAATTAAAGAACCTCAGCCGTTTTGGCTATAAAGCCTGGCCATTAGGTTAGAGTACTAAGAGCCTAGCGTTGAGTTGTGCCGCCTCCAGGGGGCAAACTCTTGGGGCGCCTGTCAGTCAATCCTGACTGCCCACTGCGAAGGAGCTCTGAGCTCTAGCAGTTAAAGTCACGGGTGTGGAGAGCCTCTTAGTGCTGCCATTGGGGCACCTGTCAGTCAGTGTTGACTGCCCACTGCGAAGGAGCTCTGAGCTCTAGCAGTTAAAGACACGGGTGTTTAGGACCTTGGGGCATCCGTCAGCCTAGCCCGGGCTGCCCGCCGCAAAGGGACAGTGCGTCCTAGCGGTTAAAGTCACGGATGGTATAAAACGGGCATAGCTGGCACCTCACCAAACATCCTTGGCCATCGGCTAACACAGGGGCATTGGAGTAAAAAGGGATGTCAATGATGAGAGTGTCTTTCTCAGGGTAGAAAGGCCTTTTTGGTGAAGAATGCTTTGCAGTGGTTCCTAAAAATGGCCAGACTCTGGAATTGCCTTATCTTCTGCCAGCTATGGTGATTCTTATTTATGAGAGAAGTGTTTACATACAGTCTAAAAAAGAGACAGGATAATTTGGGAAATCAAAAGGAGAGAATAATAACTTAAGTTTTTGTTAACATATTTACTATGTATTATTGTTATTTTATTGTGAACTCATGACTTGTTGGCCATCACATATAAAAGTGCATTTTAGAAAGTATTTGAATGAGGAGAGGTTGAGGAAACATAGCATGGTAGAAAGCGGAACTCAGCTGTGCTGTAAAACTGACTCCTATAATGACAGATTCATTGCAGGTTAGAGATGGTTTTGAATAACAATGACTTCAGTTATTTAGATTCTCAAATTACACCAATTAAACAATGACTTGGATTGTAAGGCACTAGAAGGCACTGTAATATGCTGTCAGTTCATGAAATCACTAGTGTTGTGTTGTGGTATAATCAAATGTAGGAAATAAACCCAATGCCAGACAAAGTTACTTCTAAGGCCCATATCTTCTTAACCTAGGCCCTGATTCAACAAAGCACTTAAACATGCATTTAAATCCCATTGACTTCAATAAGACTTAAGCACATGGTTAAAGTTAAGCATGTGCTTATTTAGGGTTGTCAAGGTTCCTCCCCCACTCTGAACTCTAGGGTACAGATGTGGGGACCTGCATGAAAAACCTCCTAAGCTTATCTTTACCAGCTTAGGTCAAAACTTCCCCAAGGTACAAAATATTCCACCCGTTGTCCTTGGACTGGCCGCTACCACCACCAAACTAATACTGGTTACTGGGGAAGAGCTGTTTGGACGCGTCCTTCCCCCCAAAATACTTCCCAAAACCTTGCACCCCACTTCCTGGACAAGGTTTGGTAAAAAGCCTCACCAATTTGCCTAGGTGACTACAGACCCAGACCCTTGGATCTTAAGAACAATGAACAATCCTCCCAACACTTGCACCCCCCCTTTCCTGGGAAATGTTGGATAAAAAGCCTCTCCAATTTGCATAGGTGAGCACAGACCCAAATCCTTGGATCTGAGAACAATGAAAAAGCATTCAGTTTTCTTACAAGAAGACTTTTAATAAAAATAGAAGTAAATAGAAATAAAGAAATCCCCCCTGTAAAATCAGGATGGTAGATATCTTGCAGGGTAATTAGATTCAAAAACATAGAGAACCCCTCTAGGCAAAACCTTAAGTTACAAAAAAGATACACAGACAGAAATAGTTATTCTATTCAGCACAATTCTTTTCTCAGCCATTTAAAGAAATCATGATCTAACACGTACCTAGCTAGATTACTTACTAAAAGTTCTAAGACTCCATTCCTGGTCTATCCCCGGTAAAGACCAGCATATAGACAGACACACAGACCCTTTGTTTCTCTCCCTCCTCCCAGCTTTTGAAAGTATCTTGTCTCCTCATTGGTCATTTTGGTCAGGTGCCAGCGAGGTTACCTTTAGCTTCTTAACCTTTACAGGTGAGAGAAGCTTTCTCCTGGCCAGGAGGGATTTCAAAGGGGTTTACCCTTCCCTTTATATTTATGACAAGGGTATGCATACACTGCGATAAAAAACCTGTGACACTGTGTCAGATCCCAGGTCAGCTGACTCGGGCTCATGGGCTCCGATTGTGGGGCTATACAATTGCAATGTAAACATTCAGGTTTGGTCTGCAGCCTCCGTGCTGAGACCTGCCCATTTCACTCGACTTAAGTGTTTTGCTGAATTGGATCTCTAATTCAATTTTCCCACACTATGTCTTGTTGATTTTATGTCTGTTCCAGAGCAAAAGTGCTCACCACATTGAAAATAACAAATCATATCATTCAAGGCTCTTGCCTGATATTGCTCTTCTAACAGAATTGCTCAAGAATGGAAAACTTCAATAACTTAATTTAATTTGAAAATGGATCTATCTAGAGCAAATAGCTTATCTCACCTGTGAAGGGTAAGTATTATGTTTCTTTCATAAAAATAAAAGATCTTTATAATTCACTCATGCCTTACAGTCTTGGTGAGCTATAGGTGAGAAATACAATAATAATTCTTAAGTAGTGAGCCACTTTAGCTAGTTTAGTTGGAGTCATTAGTATTTTAGCCCATAAATTGCCTTTTGTGAAACCTTAACATTTTAGAATATTTGTGAGCTGAAAAGTCTGTCCTTCACAGTGAAAGAATTTTGATGCATGTGAAAACAGTGACACTGCTGAGTGTGCAATAATAATACAATAACAAAAGAAAAGGAATGCCAAGAATTTGGCTGGACCTTCTAATGACAAAGTGCAGAGAGAATTTAATATCTACTTTTGATGGTTAAATTATGTACAGTTGCTCTAATAGAGTTACCTGATCATGGGTCCCACATTTTAAACAATGTTTTTAATGCTAAATGACCAAATCAATTACTTCCTCAAACTATCCCTTGCACAACAGAAATAGATTTCACCAGTTATCTTCCTCCTTTGCATTTTTTGCCCTGGGTAAAAATCTGAATCTGATTTAAGAGTTGAACAAAAGCAGGGCATCTTCTTGTGGAAGACCCTGGACTCTAGAATTCAGATTCACTGTTAGCCTGGTGTGCCAGAACCCAAATTTGTTCACCTGTAAGTCTCACTGTAAGGTTTATCCATTTACCCATGATTTTATTGGAGCGTGCACATGGAGTATTGGTAAAGGAGATGGGGCTTAATTTTTGTTTGTTTCTTTCTTTTTTGGTAAGGGAGTATTTTAGCTGACATTGTGTCAATTTAGATTTATGTTGTAACCTGATTTTTTTTATTATATGACCTCTGGAAGGTACATTGTATACATAGATAAATTGTGAATAAAGCAGAAATACTCAGGATATCTATATATTGTATTGCCTATATTTTTGTACCTATATCTATAGTATTTTCTACACTCTGACAAGACAGAAATCACAATATAAATGGTATTATATTAATAAGATAAGAGGGACAATACCAACTCTGACAATAAATGCACATTATTGCAATTTCTAAAGATTAGATTGTTAAATGATATCATTCAGACAAAGGGCCTCGCAGGGTTCACAAAAGGCCTAGGCATTTATATGGATAATAAACATCCTGTTACATTAGGGTACAATCTTTGTGGTGACCAGGCTGCCAGGCACTGTGGGCACAAGAGCCCTCTCCTCTGCAGTGCCGATTAATGAACACTACAGAGAAGATAAACCAGCCCTCCTATTTATTGATATATGTATCTGTGCACGTTGATTCCCCGCCTCATTTCTCATCTCAGTGGAGCCCAGACCTTTCCCCGTTTGCTTAAATGCTTCAGCATCTTTCTCTCGCCAGGGTGTTTGCAGCAGCCTCTGCATTAACTCTGTGCAACTCCCGGACTCTGCGCTGTGCCATATGCGTGTGGACAGAGCTGCACGCCGCGCAGAGACGGGGGGAACCGGATCCGCGGGCGGGGTAGATGGACCTGGCGCTGCTGAAGCCAGGGGCGCGAGCTCCATCTGGCCCTGACCGTCCCCTGGGGGCGCGGGTGGCAGCGCCTCGCCCGACACCAAGCGCCGCGGGCTGGGAAGGGGGAGGACGGCTCGTGGGAGCGTGTCAGGGCGGCCTACTCCGCCCCTCTCCTTCCCCGCGCCCCGGGCCCGCCACCTGCACCTGAAGCCGCCCGGACCAGTGCCCCCATCACCGGACTCGCGACGCATGCGCGGCGGTCGGCCCCACCCTCGCTGTGGAAGCCCGCGGCCCAGATCCGTGTTGCTCGCCGGAAGGAGTTGTGCAATGGACCGCAGCGCGACCGGAAGGGGGACGCTGGTTGAGTGGGACACATCCGCTTTCTTTTGATCGCCGCGGTCTCAGCGTCCCAGAGAGAGCTGCCGCTGCCTTGTCCTCTGCGACGGGTCTGGGTCGGGGCTTCCCTTTCGCTGCCTGTATGGCCGCCTCCGTGGTGAGTCCGCGGGCGACCGGGAGCGGGAGGCCGGAACCGGGCGGGGGGGGCAGCTCGTCCTCCATGAGGGGACCAGGTCTGGGGACTGCGTGTGGGGTGACCCCCTGGGCCAGCCGCCGCGCGGCCCTGCCCGCCGGGGACTTCCGGAACTAGGCACATTTCGTGGCCCTCTGAGCGAGGCTTGCCGAGCGCTGGCTGCACGGGCCCTGCCCCGAGCAGCCGGAATCGGCACTCAGCGGAGGCAGGGCGGAGGGGGGGAGATTTGTCTACACGTATCTGCAGGGTATAAATGCGCCTGGGGGAGGAAAATGACAGATTGTTGGGGAGGGGGCAAGGGAGGGGTAACTGGGAGTCCCTGGGCGAAATGTCCAGGGAAACTTAACTGGAATGTTAACAAAACTAACATGCTAATTCTCGTTCGAGATCAGTTTAACTGTGGATCAGTCTGCAAGGGGGCCCCTGGAATTCACAGGGGTAGGGGTTGAAAGCCCTGTCGTGTATGCCATAGGAAACGGTTCAGCATTTTGTATCTCATTTTGTTACTGTACATGTTAATTTACTTGCTGGAGAAACTGCTCATAGAATTTTATCAAACCAACTGTTTTACATTGCCTTACATAATTGTGAGGGTTTTGTTGTTATTTCTAGAACTTTAAAACTTATGTGGATCAGACTTGTAGAGCTGCTGAAGAGTTTGTCAACATTTACTATGATACGATGGATAAAAGAAGAAGGGTAGGTAGATCCCTAAGAAGACTCAATTTTTGTCCCCTTGTTGCTCTTGTGTGTACTTCCATTGTCAGACTGATCCTCTTATATACTTCAAGGCTTCTAGGAGTTAGCTACCACCCATCTTATCATTACTGGCAGAGTCCAGATCTCTGTGTGTATTCTGATCTGCTCTATCAAGTATCCTTCAAAACACTTTTTAAATTAGGGATTCTTAATTTTTTTTCATTGTGTGAGGCGCTTCTAAAGCATGTCTCATAGATCCCTTCACAACCATGATACTATTTCTCTCTGTATTTCTTCGGCAGCTACAGTGCATAGTAAATTTGAATATGTACATTTAAAATCGGTTGTATTAGTTTCCTTTTTCAGAATATCTCGTCTCTGATCTCATGAATTAGTAAGTTTCCTTTCTGCTAACCTTCTAAGCTAGCAGTGTCCCTTCATTATAATTGAGTTTGGGTATCTCTAGAAATGACTGAGGAAGAGAAAGTGGTTCCAGCATCTTATGATCAGGGAGTGCTCCATGGACTACAGTGGAAGAATTGCTGATCTGAATGCTTTTTCACGCACTTGTTTAATGTGAGGTTTCAGAGTAACAGCCGTGTTAGTCTGTATTCGCAAAAAGAAAAGGAGTACTTGTGGCACCTTATAGATTAACCAATTTATTTGAGCATAAGCTTTCGTGAGCTACAGCTCACTTCATCAGATGCATACTGTGGAAACTGCAGAAGACATTATATACACAGATTTCAGAGGAACAGCCGTGTTAGTCTGTATTCGCAAAAAGAAAAGGAGTACGTGTGGCACCTTAGAGACTAACCAATTTATTTGAGCATGAGCTTTCGTGAGCTACAGCTCACTTCATCAGATGTTTCTGCTGCAGTTTCCACGGTAAACATCTGATGAAGTGAGCTGTAGCTCACGAAAGCTCATGCTCAAATAAATTGGTTAGTCTCTAAGGTGCCACACGTACTCCTTTTCTATATACACAGAGACCATGAAACAATACCTCCTCCCACCCCACTTTCCTGCTGGTAATAGCTTATCTAAAGTGATCACTCTCTTTACAATGTGTATGATAATCAAGGTGGGCCATTTCCAACACAAATCCAGGTTTTCTCACCCTCCCCCAAAAACACACACACACACACAGACTCACTCTCCTGCTGGTAATAGCTTATCCAAACTTACCACTCTCCTTACAATGTGTATGATAATCAAGGTGGGCCATTTCCAGCATAAATCCAAGTTTAACCAGAACGTCTGGGTGGGGGGGGGGGGGGGGGTTAGGAAAAAAAAAGGGGAAATAGGCTACCTTGCATAATGACTTAGCCATTCCCAGTCTCTATTTAAGCCTAAATTAATAGTATCCAATTTACAAATGAATTCCAATTCAGCAATTTCTCGCTGGAGTCTGGATTTGAAGTTTTTTTTGTTTTAAGATAGCGACCTTCATGTCTGTGATTGCGTGACCAGAGAGATTGAAGTGTTCTCCGACTGGTTTATGAATGTTATAATTCTTGACATCTGATTTGTGTCCATTTATTCTTTTACGTAGAGACTGTCCAGTTTGACCAATGTACATGGCAGAGGGGCATTGCTGGCACATGATAGCATATATCACATTGGTGGATGTGCAGGTGACCGAGCCTCTGATAGTGTGGCTGATATTATTAGGCCCTGTGATGGTGTCCCCTGAATAGATATGTGGGCACAGTTGGCAACGGGCTTTGTTGCAAGGGTAGGTTCCTGGGTTAGTGGTTCTGTTGTGTGGTATGTGGTTGTTGGTGAGTATTTGCTTCAGGTTGGGAGGCTGTCTGTACACAAGGACTGGCCTGTCTCCCAAGATCTGTGAGAGTGTTGGATCATCCTTCAGGATAGGTTGTAGATCCTTAATAATGCGTTGGAGGGGTTTTAGTTGGGGGCTGAAGGTGATGGCTAGTGGCGTTCTGTTATTTTCTTTGTTAGGCCTGTCCAGTAGTAGGTGACTTCTGGGAACTCTTCTGGCTCTATCAATCTGTTTCTTCACTTCCGCAGGTGGGTATTGTAGTTGTAAGAATGTTTGATAGAGCTCTTGTAGGTGTTTGTCTCTGTCTGAGGGGTTGGAGCAAATGCGGTTGTATCGCAGAGCTTGGCTGTAGACAATGGATCGTGTGGTGTGGTCAGGGTGAAAGCTGGAGGCATGTAGGTAGGAATAGTGGTCAGTAGGTTTCCGGTATAGGGTACTGTTTATGTGACCATTGTTTATTAGCACTGTAGTGTCCAGGAAGTGGATCTCTTGTGTGGACTGGACCAGGCTGAGGTTGATGGTGGGATGGAAATTGTTGAAATCATGGTGGAATTCCTCAAGGGCTTCTTTTCCATGGGTCCAGATGATGAAGATGTCATCAGTATAGCGCAAGTAGAGTAGGGGCGTTAGGGGATGAGAGCTGAGGAAGCATTGTTCTAAATCAGCCTTAAAAATGTTGGCATACTGTGGGGCCATGCGGGTACCCATAGCAGTGCCGCTGATCTGAAGGTATGGTATGATCAGGGATGGTAGTTGCTAATGGAAGCCAATGTTTGAGTAGGACACTTCAGTCAGTTCTGTATGGAGGATCTAATATCTGCAATACTGTTTTAATTCTTCTGATCGTATGAATGTGTTTCCCATATTGGCAACAAGTAGCTTGATTTTTAATAATGGATTTTTTCCAAATATGTTCTCATAATCCCTTTAGGTGTTGGCTAGACTTTATCTGGACAAAGCAACATTAATTTGGAATGGTAATGCAGTGTCTGGACAAGAAGCACTGAAAGAATTTTTTGAAATGTTGCCATCTAGTGAATTCCAGGTTAATATGTTAGACTGCCAACCTGTTCATGGTAAGGTTATTTTATAATTCTGGGTTGTTTTTTTTTAATAGTTGTAGAATGTGAACAACAAATGTAATAAATATTGATTGATGTGACTATTAGAAAAGGTAAAGAAAAGACCTGATGGCTGAAATGTAGGGCTATTTTTAAATAAAGGGGTGTAGTGGGAGGGTGACTACTTAAAACTGTACAGTAGAATTTATTAAACTTCCTCTTTTAGAACCCTTACTCAGATATAACCTTGATATTTTCATGCACTGAAGCAGTTACTCTTAATATATTAAACTAACTACATGGCATTGTAACATAAACAGTGCAAGTTAAAAATAGCATTAAAAAGCAACATTTGCTAATGAACAAGTTACCACAGGTGTTTCTGTTAGTAACAATACAACATAAAAATCAGTTTAACACACATACTCTTCCAACTGTTTGCTAACAGACCTGCAGCTGTGACTTGTATGGAAATGATTATTAGTTAAGTAGACACTCTAGCATTTCACATAAGCAGCTGAGGTGATGGGAAATTGTGCATAACTTTTCTATTCTTTTACATCTGTCATTCTTTTTGTGAAGAGCAAGCTACTCAAAGCCAGACAACAGTCCTTGTAGTGACGTGTGGGAGAGTAAAATTTGATGGCAACAAGCAACGTTACTTCACCCAGAATTTCTTACTGACGGCACAAGCTACACCTACCAGCACAGTGTGGAAGATTGCAAGTGACTGCTTCCGCTTCCAGGATTGGGCCAGTTAATGGGGACTGAGAGGTGATTGCTTTCCCTCTTCATTGTGTGACTTCAGCTCTCTGGACAGTCATTCTCTGAACGTGGAAGACCTTTATCCCTTCTAGTGTGCCGTTTGTTCTGGAAGTACTGCAGATCTGTGTTTTGCTAGTCCTAGTGGCCCAGGACATAAAGGCAAATGTATTTTTGAAATGGAAGAAGTTTGCTCAAGTTAATTGGGCCCCTGTGAAATATTTAAGGCAGTGAGCCAAAGGGCATACCCGTTCCTGAAGTTTGTGTTAGTGATTCACTCATGTAATGTTGAAATCATTCCTGTAAATGCCTTACTTACAACTATCCTGCTGCTTCAGGAACTTTTTCAGTAATATTGAATGCTAAAATCTCCACTGCTTGAACAGTGAATCCATTCATACAGATGTGCAATCATTTCAGCTTAGAAACACCATCTTTGAAGCAGACACCTATGACAGTGAGAAATGGAATTAGTTGCTCCTATGTGACGTGTATGAAACTTCAGAACTGCTTATTTTGAGCCTTGAGCTTGATCTGGCAACAATTAGAGTTCTTTTTTTCCAGTAAGAGTGGCCACATCAAAGTAACTTCTCATATATTAGATGGGAGAGATCCCACTTGGAGTTGTAGTGTTACCAATGAATTACATGGTTTGGGGGATGGGGGAATAAAGGGATTGGTAAATACAGTCATACTTTCTGCTTCCTCTCTGAAAATTGAAAATATAACACTTGAACATGTGTAAACTCTCAAAAAATCATCTGTTGTAAAGCCAGTGTTTAGTGTCCTCGATGTACAAGGAATACAACGCTTATCAGGTTTCTCCTTTGGCTTAACCCTGTTAATATTTGGTTAGGATCACTTATGTAGATCTAGGTCCACACTAACAGCTCTGTTGAATGCAAAGGGAAAGGACAAGCATATTAAGCTGATTTGAGAAGCTGCTTCCCTTTCTTTGGAAGTCTTGGAGTATAAGCTACATATCAGTCAGCTGTTTCATCCTTTGTTTTCTATAGCTAGTAATTTCATTATTCCTATGAAGCACAACATACTTATTTTATTGCAACTTTTTCTCCTATTTTGAATTTGCAAGCTTTTACCCCATCAGTCTGAAACATTATAATAGGAAAGTGGCATTGAAATAGTGTATATGATATGCTAGTCATCTCTTTAGTGCAGTTGTTCAGAGTAGATGCTTTGACTACTGTGGTCCCAGAAGGATATTAACCTCTCAACATGAGAAAACTTTATCTTCCTTCAATCCAAAGTTAATGCGCAACTTTCATTTGTCTTTGTCCTGTTTGGTTTTTATTATGGGTTTCTCAGAATATGGTTACCTTAAATTGCTATACTCTTGGTTCTATTTTTTAAATTTTTTTATTGTTTTAAAGTTTAGAGGGTAGCTTGCTTTCTTAACCTGAATTAACGCTTTAGATCTCAGGATGGCAGCACTTCGTGTTCAGACTGCTAATCTAAGTTGAGCAAATTAAAAGGGTGGAAATCTAGTCACATAGTAAGTACTTGAAAACACACACTCTGCTTGTAAGTAAAAATCTATTTGACTGTAACTTGTAAATCTGATCTTAATTTCATCCTGACAGATGTTTTGACAATTCACAAGGCTGTTACCTTTATACTTGTAAGGCTGGAATATGTGACTGGGGAACCACTCATTTTATTCCTTATAAATCAGAAAACAGAAAATAAACCGTATTTTAAAAACGTATGTATACTTAACATATGTTTTTAACAAATAATGGTAAAAGTTGATATAAAGATGAAATGGTTGGCTGCACCAGTATTGAACTTAAAGGGTTTCTAGAAATGTTTATATCATTAGGTTGGAGAATTTGTAATATATTGTCCAACTCTCTTAAATGGAAATTTTTCTATAGTTAAAGTCGGAAATGGTCTCTCTAAAGTCCTTGCTCAAGAAACTTTTTCCTCTGTTTTCCTACTTTTGAGAAAACAGGAATCTAAAAATGGCATAAGGACTACAAAACTGTTTAACGTTGTAGCTATCGTAAATGTATTGCGATTGTGTGCATAGCGGAGGAAAGATTGACCTTTTTAACTGTGTAATGTCATCTTGCAATAATGTTGGGAGGTTTTCATATCTTTTCTACCAGATCAAAAGAAGAATTAACGTTGAAGTTACCTGCTAATTATATAGCATTGTTGAACTGTGGTGGTGTTGTATTATGGTTACAACTCACTGTTTCTTACAGATGAAATTCATATTCCTAATGTATCTTGTCTACATATGGTATCAGTATAACTTTTAAAACATTTATGGGTGAAATTCCAGCACTGGGCTTCTGAATTATGAAGACATTCAGTCTTTAGAACACAATATTCTTATACCAAACAAACACATTTATGCTCAAGTAAATATTTATTTAAAATTACTGGGATGACGCCTTAAATCTTAAATTAGCATGTACAATTGTCTAAAACTTTCTGTCACAACAGTGGAAGTTTTAGATGTAGATGTAGCTGTTCTATACATTCTGTTCAGATGGAAGCAGGTTTGGGCTTTAAGTATGGCTGGTGCTCTGAGTTCTTACTATCTGAAGCATAATTTAGTGTGTGCACAAACTAACCTAGTTGTACAGGCTCTGCCTTCCATTGTGCTTCGTGTTAATTTCACAGTTGGAAGTGGATCTTGGCTGTTGCTAGCATGGATTTTTGTGGAATTGGTGGAAGTGATGATCTTCCGCACTATTCTTCCTGCTTCCCTTCAGTAGAGCTAAAATAAGGTTTTGGCTTTGGAAGTTGTTGATGGTTATGTCCTCGTAGCTGGAGGTGATCTGTCTTAAAGAAAAGGAGCGTACTCAGGCTGCCATAATTGCCTGCTAACCAAAATTCTTAATACTTGTGCAAAATCATAAGAACTAAACTGCATAGAAGTCCAAACACTCTGATGCTTTCCCTTGCTATTCAAATAGTAAATTCTGGGCATGTAGCAAAGCAGTCATACAAAATCAAGCTGAAAATCTAAGCAAATGCAAATCCTAATACCTTTTGCTTATCTTGTATTGCCTCCATTGATCAACTTTGTTTGACATTCTAGTTGTGTTGCTTTGCTCTTTTTAGCATGCCACAAATAATTTAAAGTGCTCAGTGCTGTCATTTCTTGGAGGGGAGTATTTTGTCTTCAAAGGCTAGGTAACGCTTGTTATCTGATGAGAGAATTCTGAAATATAAAGAAGTGATGCTTTTTTAACATCAAAATAGCTTTCCACAAACTTGAATGTTTTATAATCTTTTGCAACTATTTAAGACCTCTTGTAAGGGTGTCACTTTAAAAAAATCGTTTGATCTGGTACTTTATTTTTATTACAAGCTTTCATAGTGTTTTCTTACTATATTAAAGTTCAGGAAATAACATTTGGCTCTTCAACTTTGCTGTTTGGGTTTTGGCATTGGGTTACATATGTTCTAACTATTGCCACCATATGGTACTCAAATAGCTCAGAACAGAGCCACCAGTGTACACGCTCCTTGATGGTGGTGGTGTCTCTCCTGTGATGAGAAAAATGAACTGATGATGGCAACTGATTCCACAGTCATGTGCATCAGCAGTAATGCAGCATAATTGAGGTAAATGATACTTCAGAGCGCAGAAGTAAAAACTCTGGGGAATGTGGCAGTTCCCTTGGATAACATTCACTGAAGTTTACATCACCATCTAACAAATTCTAAGAAGTCGTCAGCCAAACACATAGTGTATGCAAGATGCTTGGACGGTAAATGTCGTCCTTGCCCTTCCCCCCAAGCATAGACTATGCCTGTGCTCTATATCTTCTATGGATAAATAGAACATTCACCCAAAGAACTAAATTCACAATGTTTTTCCTTTTTAGCATCAAGAATGGCTGAGTTCAGTAGACCAAATGGCTACTAATGTTACAAGTTTACACTCAAGTGCTGACCACCTTCAATTTTCATCAACATCAATAGCAGTTAAGGGTGCTGAACTCATTGGAGGGTTGGTCACTCAGTGAAAAGTGCTTTACATTTTGTTTAAATGTGAGCCTAAAAACTCTGTGCTGTACCTACCTTGTGGGGGCTCCCTGAGGCTGTCCTTTGGGCTGGAATGCTGCCTAGAATCTCTTTAGTGTTGTGGCTCCACCCCCACCATGCCCCTCTCATGGTGGCACAACATTTTTGTACAAAACTTGTGCAGGGTCCTTGGAGGACAGCCTTACAGTTGTTTTCTGCATTGCCAATTCCCCACGGTCTTTCATGCTCCTCTGGCCATTTTACCTAGCATAAAAGTTCTGGAATGGGGGTGAGGAGCTTAAAAAGAAGTAGGGCTTTCAAGCGATTAATCACTCTGTTAAACAATTAGAATACCATTTATTTAAATATATTTGGATGTTTTCTACATTTTCAAATATTTTTATTTCAGTTACAACACAGAATACAAAGTGTACAGTGCTCACTTTATAGTCATTTTTATTACAAATATTTGCACTGTAAAAAATAAATAGTATGTTTCAATTCACCTCTTACAAATACTGTAGTGCAGTCTCTACTGTGAAAGTGCAACTTACAAATGTAGATTTTTATTTTTTTTTGTTTGTTCTACAACTGCACTCAAAAACAAAACAATTTAAAACTTTGGAGCCTACAAGTCTACTCAGTCCGACTTCCTGTTCAGCCAATCACTAAGACAAACAAGTTTATTTACATTTACAGGACATAATGCTGTCTGCTTCTTATTTACAGTGTCACCTGAAAATGAGAACAGGTGTTCAAATGTGTCATAAATATAAAGGGAAGGGTAAACCCCTTTAAAATCCCTCCTGGCCAGAGGAAAAATCCTCTTACCTGTAAAGAGTTAAGAAGCTAAAGGTAACCTCGCTGGCACCTGACCAAAATGACCAATGAGGAGACAAGATACTTTCAAAAGCTGGGAGGAAGGAGAAAAACAAAGGGTCTGTGTCTGTCTGTATGATGCTTTGGCCGGGGACAGAACAGGAATGGAGTCTTAGAACTTAGTAAGTAATCTAGCTAGGTATGTGTTAGATTATGATTTCTTTAAATGGCTGAGAAAATAGCTGTGCTGAATAGAATGAATATTCCTGTCTGTGTGTCTTTTTTGTAACTTAAGGTTTTGCCTAGAGGGATTCTCTGTTTTGAATCTAATTACCCTGTAAGGTATCTACCATCCTGATTTTACAGAGGTGATTCCTTTACTTGTATTAAAAGTCTTCTTGTAAGAAAACTCAATGCTTTTTTTATTGTTCTAAGATCCAAGGGTTTGGGTCTGTGGTCACCTATGCAAATTGGTGAGGATTTTTATCAAATCTTCCCCAGGAAGTGGGGTGCAAGGGTTGGGAGGATTTTGGAGGGAAAGACGTGTCCAAACCCCGTTTCCCAGTAAACCCAGATAAAGTTTGGTGGTGGCAGTGGAAATCCAAGGGTAAAATAATTTTGTACCTTGGGAAAGTTTTAACTTAAGCTGGTAAAAGTAAGCTTAGGAGGTTTTCATGCAGGTCCCCATATCTGTACCCTAGAGCTCAGAGTGGGGAAGGAACCTTGACAGCATGGCACTGTTGTAGCCAGCATTGCAAGGTATTTACGTGCCAGATATGTTAAACATTCGTATACCCCTTCATGCTTTGGCCATCATTCCCGAGGACATGCTTCCATGCCAATGATGCTTGTTAAAAAATAATGCATTAATTAAATTTGTGACTGAACTCCTTGGGGGAGAATTATGTGTCTCCTGCTCTGTTTTACCTGTATTCTGTCATATATTTTATGTTATAGCAGTCTCAGCTGATGACCCAGCACATGTTGTTTGATTTAAGAACACTTTCACAGCAGATTTGACAAAATGCAAAGAAGGTACCAGTGTGAGATTTCTAAAGCTAGCTACAGCACTCAACCCAAGATTTAAGAATCTGAAGTGCCTTCCAAAATTTGAGAGGAATGAGGTGTGGAGCATGTTTTCAGAAGTCTTTAAAGAGCTGAGCTACACTTTGATGCAGAAGTTACAGGACTTGAACCACCAAAAAAGAAAATCAACCTTTTGTTGGTGGCATCTGACTCAGATGATGAAAATGAACATGGGTCAGCCCACATTGCTTTGGACTGTTGTTGAGCAGAACCCATCAACGGCATGGAAGCATGTATTCTGGAATGGTGGTTGAAGCACAAAGGGATTTATGAATCTTTACTGCATCTGATGTGTAAATAGCTTGCAACACTGGCTACAACAGTGCCATGTGAATGCCTGTTCTCACTTTCAGGTGACATTGTAAACAAGAAGCAGGCAGCATTCTCTTGCAAATTTAAACAAACTTGATTGGCTGAACAAGAAGTAGGACTGAGTGGACTTGTAGGATCTAAAGTTTTACATTGTTTTGTTTTTGAGTGCAGTTACGTAACAAAAAATCTACATTTGTAAGTTGCACTTTCACAGTAGAGATTGCACTACAATACTTGTAAGAGGTGAACTGAAAAATACTATTATATAGTGCAAATCTTTGTAATAAAAATAATATAAAGTGAGCACTATACACTGTATTCTGTGTAAATTGAAATCAAATGTTTGAAATGTAGAAAAAATCAAAAATATTTAATGTATTTAAATTGGTATTCTCTTGTTTAACAGGGGCATTAAAACCAATTAGTCACGATTAATTTTTCTGAGTTAACTGCGATTAATTGACAGTACAAGTCATGGACAGGTCATGGGGCTGGGAATTTTTGTTTATTGCCCATGACCTATCCATGATTTGTACTATAAATACCCCTGACTAAATCGTAGCCTTACCAATCATCCACTCAGTCCTTGGACTCTCTACAGAGTATGACAACATTTGCTTGATTACATGGTGTCCACTAGGACTCATGCCTCCCAAAACAGTAATTCAGACCCTTTAATAGTTGAATGAGTCCCAAAATATTTAGCTAGGTGCTACTGGGGGGGGCCCTGGAGGGAGCCAATGCTCTGGGATGGGGCACAGCTAGGTGCTGTTGCTCTGGAGGAGAGGGAGCAGCACCAGCTGCCGGGGGTCGCAACCTAGCTGCCGCTGGGACCGATGCCAGGGGTCACCAAGCTGCAGCTGCTCCTTCTGCTCCTTGGACCGGCTGCACCGGTCGCTGTTCAGGCAGTCCGGGGCCAGCTGCCCAAGCAGTGGCTGGTACATCTGGCACCTGGGGCAGCTCAGAAATGGCTGGTGCAGTTGGCTGTGGGGGCAGCTGCTTGGGCGGCTCTGGGGTTAGCCACACTGGCTGTTGCAGAAATCATGGAGCCCTAACAATAGGGAATGAACTGTTCTCACCCCACAACGATGGTCTTGCTGGGATGTAATTTAGACACCTTGACACAGTACTGAGGGAGAAGCTTGTAGGATTGCAGTATATAACTTCAATATCTGGGGCTATCAAGCAAACACGATTTCAAGGTCTACAGAGCATTTGTCTCTATGATTCATGTGATCCTGCTGAGGCTGCCAGTCAGTGTCAAATGTCTCAGGGGTTTTTGTGATGTGAAAGTTTGGCTGCTTGGTATGGGATTGAGACCCACCAAATCACTCCTTCTAGCCTACTGAATCACCACCAGGCACCAGATCCTGTCTTAAATAGAGATTCCATAGTTAAATACTTCATATTTTGCTGTGTATATTCATTGAAACAGACTATGCTAGAAAAAAATAAGTTTAAATTCTAATGTGCAAACCACATAATTAAATCTTTAAAAAAACCCTGCTATTACTCCAAAGTGAATGAATGGATGGATGATCCTGTGTCATACAAACAGTTTAAAGTCTTGGTGACTCTACGGGAGGCTATGCTGAACATTTCTATTCATCTAAATGAAATGTTTAACTATGTGGTTACACTATGAACTCTTCTTTTTTTCCTCCGTCACCCACAAGAAAATGGAATTGATTTAGGAGGCCCAGTGCGACAGGGGTCAATGTTGGCTTCTCAAAAAAGTTTTGTGAAGTATTGTGTGCACCCCAGTTCAAGGAAGCATGGTTGGGCCAAGCATTCCAGTCTGATCCTCCTGAGTGCTAAGCTTTCCCATCTCCCACTGAATCAGATGTAGATCAACCCTACTGAAACTCAGGAACTGAGGATACCCAGCACCATGCAGGAGCTGACACTGACCAACTGCACCATGGGGCATTTCGATAGTATTTTTTGTTAGTCATGGAACCTAACTCATTCCATGAATTTCTTCCCCAATGTGCATACATATCTGTCTTCTGCTTTGATTGTTGATGATTTGTGGATAAGAACCGAGTAAGGGCTACAACACCCAGAAATACAGCACAGTGCACGCATGGAGCAGGAAAACAGCAAAAGACAACCAAAATACCTATTTCCATCTTTAGTCATAGTTGGGTTCTATATCTCCTTAAATATTAAACTGCTCAGCATTCATAACACAAAGTGAGTTACAATCTTTGAGAATTAATGCTACTTGTTCTGTGATGTGGGGTGGCAGCAGGGCCATGCCAATTAACCAGGTGCTAGGTAGTTTGTAGGCATAGGAAATACAAACTGGTCTTGCTTAGAGATTATCACTATGAGTCCTGCCAGGGAAATAATATAACTTATTTTCAGTTGTGTAGCTTCTTTTCTTCGGTAATCAAGTTTTCAAAGCATCCCTCCAACAAGACCCTAATGCAGCCAAGGAAACGATGTGTCAATCTTGGTAGAAGTCAGTTGAGATACAGCGTATCTTTTTAGAAAGACAACCAGTCTAGTTCACCCTGAAGTTGCGGGCTGACTTATACAGGAGGACAGAGTAGATGATAAATAATGGTTGCTTCTGGCCTTAAAACCTATGAATAATAATAGCACTGATAGCTCTTCACAAATATTAAAGTGCCATTATCAGGTAGTTTGGGACTCTCTTTTCTCTCCAAATCACTGTTTTACAAGCCTAATATTTATTAAATACATTTTCATCTGATTGAAAATAATTCAGTGAAAACTTTGTTGTTGAGGGTTGGTTGGGTTGGCTGTAAATATCCCCCTCCAGCGCTGGCAACACAAACAGTTGCATAACTGTCTCAGACTACAAAGACATATTACCAAGAATTGTTTAGTTTGTTACAGAAAGAAAGCTAAAGACTTAACTCTTATTTCAACAAATATATAATTTCAACTTCAACAAGTATATAACAAAGTACTAATAACTACAGTAATTGTCTTAGAACATAAGAATGGCCATACTGGGTCAGACCAAAGGTCTGTCCAGCCCAATATCCTGTCAACTGACAGTGGCCAATGCCAGGTGCCCCAGAGGGAGTGAACCTAACAGGTAATGATCTAGTGATCTCTCTCCTGCCATCCATCTCCACCCTCTGACAAATAGAGGCTAGGGACACCATTCCTTACCCATCCTGGCTAATAGCCATTAATGGACTTAACCTCCATGAATTTATCCAGTTCTCTTTTAAACCCTGTTATAGTCCTAGCCTTCACAACCTCCTCAGGCATGGAGTTCCACAGGTTGACTGTGCACTGTGTGAAGAAAAACTTCCTTTTATTTGTTTTAAACCTATATAAATAGTAATTTCAAGATATGTTGCACACACATTTTGCTGCAGAATACTAACATTTTAATTATTGAAATATGCAGACATCATACACACAACACTGTTTTATGTATCAAAACTGCTGTGTTACATAAGGCACAATTTCCTACAGTGTATCTGCTATGTTAAGTACAGAAGATTAAATCCTGGCTCTACTGAAATCAATGGCAAAGTTCCCATAATACACTAAACATAAAATTAATAAGGGCACTTAATAGCCTATCAGTTAAACAATTTAACTGTCTTACAGAAAAAAACAATAAACAAAGGATAGAGTTGATGTGGTTGGAATGCCCAGTGTAAATTTTTGCATATGTAGGTTAGTTAGAGAACTTGTTTTGTATTAGAATCTGTATCTACCTTTATTTCCACACTTTAAGACTTAGGTTTTATTAATTAACATATTCTTGGAATTACATTTTTGTAACTAACTTTATTGTAAGTTATCAAAGTGACTGGGGAATTTCCTTGGTTTTGTTACAAAAACACAAGTAGTATATTATCAGCATAAGTCAGGCTGCTGTCTGAATTCTAACATAGGTATAGACTCCTGCAACCATTTGGACTTCAGCACATACAACTTTTGTTCCAGGGTCCTAATTTTCCTCTGTCCGCTCCAAATTCCTCTCCTCAGGTTAGGTTCTCTTGTGTGTACTCTCTCTCACTCCCAATCCATGTATTGTTGTAAGATTTATAGGAAAAGATTTGGATCACAGAAGCACCAGGCTTTGCTAGGAGCTGCAGACTTGGTGTTGTAGACTTTATTTGAGCTGTTGAAGTCATAGCATAGGGAGGGTGTAACAGGGTAGGCCACTATGATCTCTGTTACAAGGTTACAATATATATTGTACAAAGTATACCTTGTGTGGCATCATCTGAAAAGTCATAATCTGCTGATTATTATTATCCTGGTAAAGTGTAGCAACACTATATGTAAAGTCATAAGAGTCTACTGTATGATTGGTTTCAGAGTAGCAGCCGTGTTAGTCTGTATCCGCAAAAAGAAAAGGAGGACTTGTGGCACCTTAGAGACTAACAAATTTATTTGAGCATAAGCTTTTGTGTGCTACAGCTCACTTCATTGGATGATTGTTACTGAAATATGATGTTATTCTGGGGAACACCCAAAAACCAGTTCCTCAGAGACAACAAGGCTATCATCTAGTTAAGTGAACATTCTTCAGCAGTGGGAGAAAGTGAACAAGAAATTTACATTCCATCACGGGGATGGCCTAAAGCTCAAGTCCACAAGAGACAGGCTGTCACCAGATGACTCAGCTGGAAATTGAAGATCTTTCTAGAACAAAGGACTGAATTATAAAAGGGGTGAAAACACTTTATTCTGCTCCTCTGTTTATCTCTGATGGCTACATTATCAACATCTGAACAACAATAGAAGGACATACTGAACTGCTTGGGGTAGTCCTGGCTGGAAGGAAATCCAGCCTCTTTATAGCATGTCAGTGAGAGAGAGACATTTGCTCTGAATCCATTTTAGTTTAAATTAGATGTCAGTTGCATTTTATCTTGTATTTCTTTTGTAACCAGTTCTGACTTTTATGCCTTGTTACTTGTAGTCACTTAAAATCTATCTTTCTGTAGTTAATAAACTTGTTTTATCTAAGCCAATGTGAGTTTGGACTGAAGTGTTTAGGAACCACCACTTGAGATAACAGCACCTGTGCATATCATTTTCCTTTGATAAAATGACAGACTTTCTATGAGCTTGCTTTGTGCAGCAGATGCTGGGCAATACAAGAGGCACATTTCTGGGGGACAAGGCTGGAATTTGGAATTTGCTGGTGTTTCCCTGACATAATTCATGAGCGGCTGGCAGAGCATTTATGTAACGTAGCTGGAAGTGATTTTGCATGCTAGCGGCTGTGTGTGAACAGTCCAGGAGTGGATGTTTTTACAGCAGAGTGGTATAAAAGGTACCCCAAGTTGGATTTTCAAAGGAATGCAGCTGTCCAACAATCCAGATTGTACCCTGAGGAATGTCACAGAGGGACAGGCCTCATTTGCTATATTTTTTTAAAAAGTACTGTATGCAGTCTTAATGCACTTAAGTCTTTTAATCATAGTGTTATAGGGCTAGATGTTACAAAGAAACAGATAATTTTCATGTAATTTAAGTTATTGTGAGTGTCTTTAGAAACCGTTGCATTTAAAAATTGATCAAAGCAATTTTTCAGTAACAGCATTTTTAGTTCAGATAAAATTGAATAGGACTAGCCCATCTAAAGAGAAATACCTTATCCTATATAATGCTTGAAAACATTTGAGCAAAAGAAAAATATCTAGAGATATAGTAGAAAATGAATGCAAATCAGTCCCAATTGTTAAAGGACAACCATGTTACAAGATAAACCTTTTGCATTACACAATCTGTTTTTTTATCTCAGTAGCTACTTGGTGATGTATACAATGTTGACAAAGGCTTAATTCCCACAGAGTAGTTCATTACGTATAAGGTTCTTACTGGAGTTGAGCTGAATTTCAGATACTTTGTTTTGGGCCAAATTTGATTTGATGTTTAGCCAAAACACTTGCCAATTTTGATTTCTTCCTGTTCACCTAGCTACATAGCTTGTAGTAATGTCTCTATTGAAGAATGCTAAATACATCTGAAACTCAAATATAGTTAAGTATAGTTGAGATTTAGACTGATTAAGTTCAAATAAAAGGAAAAGTTCAAAAGAAAATTCTGCTTCCTGCCTTAGCCCCCCATCCTGTAATGAACCCTGGGTGGACACAGGGACTGGCCTGCACAGAGCTCATGGCAGGTTTGGGTCTCATCTCTGACCTGTCATTGGTGACAGTAAAAAAGCTAATCAGTTTCTTGGAATGAGGTTACACAAATGGATCCCAGGGAAATCAGAAAGTCAACTGGCATTGGACACCTAACTCCCATTAGTGCTTTGGAAAATTGTCCTTTTATTTGTATCTTGCCTTTTGATCTAATTTATGTGGAATTGGGGGAGGTTTAGGTTGGATGTTAGGAAAAACTTTTTCACTAGGAGGGTGATGAAGCACTGGAATGGGTTACACCTAGGGAGGTGGTGGAATCTCCTTCCTTAGAGGTTTTTAAGGTCAGGCTTTGCAAAGCCCTGGCTGGGATGATTTAGTTGGCGATTGGTCCTGCTTTCAGCAGGGGGTTGGACTAGATGACCTCCTGAGGTCCCTTCCACCCCTGATATTCTATGAATGGCTGCTCAGGGCGATCCCTGTGTGTACCCTCAGCTTTGCTCTCCCAGAGATACCGTCTAGGTCTTTAGAGACGTCCTTCCTTACAGAAAATACCAGTTCTGAAAACAATGTTTAAAACCTAAACCCCTCTTCATCGACGTCTGTTCGCGTTATTTGCTCTTTTGCCTCTCACGCAAAAGGAGTCTCCGGGGTTGCCTTTGTCTGGAGCCAGGCTGGGTCCGGCTGGCCGGCTTTAGCGGCGAGCGCTGCCGGCAGGGGGCGCTGTTTCCACCCCACGCCTGGCCCAGGCGCTCCGGGCGGGCGCGCGCGCTCACTCCGGCTCGCTGGGGCGCCGAAGCGGGGAGGGTCTCAGGTTACCTCAGGCTCAAGTAGATTTTCTTCTTCCCGCGGCCCCCGCCTTCTCCCCGGGGACGCGGTGGGGGGTCCGTGGCCGCTCTCTGGCGAGCAGCCCGGCTGCGGGCCATCACCCTGCCCAGCCGCTCGCTGCTGGGGTCTGGGCGCGAGCCCCTGAGCTCGCTCCGCGGCCCGGCCCGGGGCTCACAGCGGCTGGTCGGCGCCCTCGGGCCGCCCGCTCCAGTCGCGCTCGATGTAGAGGTGGTAGGGGTCGTGCTTGGACTCGCGCTTGCGGGAGCGGGTGTAGGCCAGGATCAGCCCGCCCGCCAGGCAGCCGTAGAAGATCATGATGAGCAGGATGTAGAGGTAGGCGTCGTCCCCCGCCGGCGCGGCGGCCCCGCGGCTGGCGTTGGCCCCGCCGGGCAGCTGCCGCAGCAGGTGGCTGAGCAGGGTCCGCAGGCGCAGCGCCTCGCTGCAGTTCATGGCGAGGGGCAGCCGCTGGCCCGGCTTCCCCGCAATGAATGCGGCCCTGGAGGGAGTCTGCAGCCGGCTGCACGCGGCGCTTCGCCTCCTGCCGCGGCGCCTGGCCGCTTTGTGCTGCGGGGAGGCTTTAACCCAGCTTCCCCCGCCCACCGCGGGGCTCTTCTGCTCCATAAGTGGAGATGTTCCCGGCAGCCGGGCGGGCAGAACCGCTGCCCTAAGCCTTGTTTATGTCCCGGAAACAGAACTGTGCTTTTCAGCCGCCCTAGCAGAGGGAGATCGCAAAGGGACCGCGTTGTTTCCCCAGTCTGACCTGTGCAACACAGACACGGGATTGGAGCAAGGATTCGTGCGGGGTTGAAGCGTATCTCAGCGAGAGACTTCCCAGCTTGATTTAAAGCCTCTCCGAGGTGGAGAATTTGCTACATCCCTCCCTGATCTGTTCCCATGGTTAATTGCCCTCACTCAGCGTTAAGTAGCTGAATTTTATTGCCAGTTTGAATTTCGCTGACTTCATCTTTCAGCCACTAGTTTCTGTTGGCTAGATTAAGGGGCCCTTTACCTTTAATCTGGCAGGCAAAGGGATAAAATGTTGCATATTTCAAGGTTAAATGCGGAAATCGCAGCTAAAATGATGAGAGCATCTGGCTGCCTAAAGAGAGAGACTCTCACGTTTTAGAGAGACTGAGAGTTCTCAGGGTGTCCAGTTTAAGAAGCTGTAGTTAGGGACTTAGTCAGAAACCCCTTCCTACCTGCGGTTGGCTGTAAAAACTGAACTCTGATTTGCAGCTTTACTCTGGGATTATTCCTACCATTGAACTTCCAGCAAAAGCACAGTTGGCTGCTTTTTATGAGAGTATTAATAAAGGGGCTGCCCCTGCCAGGGAACTAGCATCTTCCATCTAGGACACTGTTAACCACTGATAGAAGTTGATGCTCTGCACCTTATGGGAAGAGGGTCAGTCATCAGTAGTGGAAGCATTTCCCCATCCTACTTAAATTTAGTCGTGTTTTTTATATCTAGTGCATGTGTTGATGAGGGAGGCAGTGGCATGTGTCAGTCAGGGAATCAGGGAGGTAGAAGAACCGTCCCCATGTGAAAATTAAAGTGAAATGGATTAAGAGGCACCTGGGTAGCCCACCTACATTTGGGATCTGCTCTGTTGCAACTACATTTATGTAGTTGTGCTGGAGTAAGTTTCCTTAATGTAGAACAGGGGTGGGCAAACTATGGCCCGTGGGCTGGATCTGGCTTGTCAGGGCTTTGGATCCAGCCCACAGGATTGCCCCCCGTGGTGCTGCAGGCCCTGCGCAGCTCTCAGAAGCGGCTGGCACCACATCCCTGGGGCCCAGGAGGGGCAGAGGGCTCCATGCATTGCCATTGCCTCCAGGCACCGCCCCCCAGGGAACAGGGAACCATGGCCAATGGGAGCTTCGGGGAAGGTACCTGGAGGCGTGACAAGGGCAGCATGCAGAGCCCTGTGGTGCTGCCCCAGGGGCTGCGCAACCACTTCCCGAAGTGGCGTGACGTGACGTGGGGCCAGCACAGGCAGGCAGGGAGCCTGCCCTGGCCCTGGTGTGCACCGCTACCACCCCAGAGCTGCTTTAGGTAAGCGGCGCCGGGCTGGATCCCGAACCCCTCCTGTACCCTGCCCCCCAACTCCCTGCCTGTACCTCACACCCCTCTTGTGTCCCAATCCCCTGCCCTGAGCCCCCTGCTGCACCCTGCACCCCTCCTCTGCCCCAATCCCTTGCCCTGAGCCCATTCCTGCACACCGCACCCACTTCCGCACACCGCACCCACTTCCACATCCCGCACTCACTCCAGCACCCCTGCCCCGGCCCGGCATACAATTTCCCCACTCAGATGTGGTCCTTGGCCCAAAAAGTTTGCCCACCCCTGTTGTAGAAGTTCTTTTGTGTTTCGGTGTGCCCATTGTAAAATGGGGATAACAATACTTTGCCTCCCTCAGAGTGAATTCTGAGGATTAATTAATTAATGTCTGTAAGGTATATTGGATGAATAAAATGTTCAATCGCATGGTTCTGCCAGACTCCTGTAGCAAGATTTTGTTAAAGTGGGGGACTGCTCAGTTTAGAAGAGTAACAATTTGGAGAGCAAAAGGCTAATGGTGTCTGCTAGTAGATGCATTCTGTGTCTTGACTTGAAAAACAAGATCTGAGATTCATTTGAGGAGACACAAGGCAAAGTTCAGCATTTTCTCTGACCAGTCTCATTAGCTTTGCCTTTTAAAAAAACAAGTTACTTTTCTTCATGAGACTACAAAGGAGCTTTTTCAGGCTGTGTCTTTTCAAGGGGCTAGATCTAGAACTAACTTTATTGATATAAGAAAGGAAGAACAGAAGCTGAATATTATTAGACCAGACTTGATAGTGGTGAGGCCTGAACTTTTGGATTAACCTATGGGCAGTAATGTTGTATCAAGTCTTTTTGAAAAAGCCCTCCAAACACAGTGGTGGATGGAGGGGAAGCAATCCTGTCCTGGCAGGGAGTGGACTAGATGGCCTTGGGGCTTTTTTTCCATTTCAGATTGCCGCGATTTTACTGACTTACTGAACCATCCATTCTCAAGCCTGGTGCCAAACAATTTAGGCAGCTCAGATGCTAACACACTTCCTTTTCTACCATGGGTGGGCCTCTGATACCTATTGGGCAAACTAGGCACTGCTGTTAAGACTTTCAGTAATAATGGTTCTGTGGTTTTCTTCTTTGGAAAAAGGAAAAAAAGGCCAGTATTTAGAGTGACCATATTTCCAAAAAGGAAAAATGGGACATAGTGTGGGGCTGGCTGGCTGAGCTGCTTGCCCAAGCCCTGCCTGCTCCCGACCCCCACCCCCCGCACGGCTGGGATCGCTGCTCAATTGAGCCCTGTCTCCCCCCCTGCCCGAGGCCTGGCTCCCTCCTGAGGGGGGCTGGCATAGCTGCTCGTTCCCCCCCCATATTTCTTTGCACCACACCCCACTTTTTTGACAGAAGTGGGCATTTGTCCTGTTTGCTCGTGCCAACTGATTAAGTTGGCAAGAGAAAATGGGACAAATGCCCACTTTTCCCAAAGAAGTTGGGATGGCTGGGACAGGGCTTAAAAAAGGGACTGTCCTGGCCAAAATGGGACATATGGTTATCCTACCAGTATTTTAAATGGGGAAATCCCTCCTCCTTAGTCATGCAACTCTAATGTCTACCCATCCAAGCTTCACTTAAACACACAGCCTTGCTCCATAGGAAAGAAAAATCCATCCAGCGGGCAGATCAACCATTTAGGTTTGTGCCACTCTGGGGCACACTCCTCAATAGGGTGTGACAGCTGAGCCATATTGTATAACCATTCCTCTTACACTCCTTGCTTGGGCAAATATGAACTTGACACCATCTGGTTTCTTTACTTGCTTTTATGGGAAGCTCCATTTTAATTAGCAAAGATTGTTTAGTGTCTAGTGTAAATGTAGATCCAAGCTGGAGGCTTCCTTAAGTGGCAAGACAGGATCATTTTACTGCAAAGCAGGTTGCTATAAAAATGCAGACCCCAGCCCACTAAAACCTGTTGATTAGGTAGTTCTCAATATGTTTGTTAAACATGAGTTCTCATCAGTGTGCTCAGTCAACTCTTTTTGTGCAAAGTCGAAATCTTGGTTAAACAGTAGGCATATGAGACCTTATCTCCATGGCTATAGCAGAGTAGTTATTCTGGACAAGCTATGCCTATAAATTTCCCTGTGTAAACAAGCCCCTAGAGCACAGTGGTTGCAGGGCAGCGGAGGAAGAGGGAAAAGTGGGCAAGCAAGCAGTTGCAAAGAGCTGGGCAGGCACAGGGAACCTGAGCAGTGGCTAAACAGCTGAGTAAAAGAGGCAGAGGCAAAAGGACATTGTTTAAAAATTGGAAGTCAAATCTTACTGAGGAAAATAGAAAGGAGCATAAACTCTGTCAAGTCAATTGTAAAAGTATAATGCAGGCCAAAAAAGAATTTGAAGAGCAAAAGATACAAAAACAATTTTTTTTAAAAATACATCAGAAGCAGGAAGACTACCAAACAATCAGTGGGGCCACTAGATGATTAAGGTGCTAAAGGAGCACTCAAGGAAGAGAAGGCCGTTGTGGAGAAGCTAAATGAATTCTTTGCATTGCTTTTCACTGCAGAGGACGTGAAGGAGATTCCCACACCTGAGCCATTCTTTTTAGGTGATAAATCTCAGGAACTGTCCCAGATTGAGGTGTCAGTAGAAGAGGTTTTGAAACAAATTGATAATTAAACAGTAATAAGTCACTAGGACCAGTTGGCATTCACTCAAGAGTTCTGAAGGAACTCCAATGTGAAATTGAAGAACTAACTGTGGTATGTAACCTATCGCTTAAATCAGCCTCTGTAGCAGATGACAGGTTTCAGAGTAACAGCCGTGTTAGTCTGTATTCGCAAAAAGAAAAGGAGTACTTGTGGCACCTTAGAGACTAACCAATTTATTTGAGCATGAGCTTTTGTGAGCTACAGCTCACTTCATCGGATGCATACTGTGGAAACTGCAGAAGACATTATATACACAGAGACCATGAAACAATACCTCCTCCCACCCCACTCTCCTGCTGGTAATAGCTTATCTAAAGTGATCATCAAGGTGGGCCATTTCCAGCACAAATACAAAGGTTTTCTCACCCCCCCCCACCCCCCCCTTTTTTTTTAATCACCAGCAGGAGAGTGAGTTTTTGTGTGTGTGTTTTTTTGAAAAAAAAAAAAAGGGGGGGGGGGGGTGAGAAAACCTGTATTTGTGCTGGAAATGGCCCACCTTGATTTTCATACACATTGTGAGGAGAGTGGTCACTTTGGATAAGCTATTACCAGCAGGAGAGTGAGTTTGTGCGTGTGGTTTTTGGAGGGGGGGGGGGGTGAGAAAACCTGGATTTGTGCTGGAAATGGCCCACCTTGATTATCATACACATTTTAAAGAGAGTGGTCACTTTGGATGGGCTATTACCAGAGGGGAGTGAGTTTGTGGGGGGGGGGGGGGGCGGAGGGTGAGAAAACCTGGATTTGTGCTGGAAATGGCCCAACTTGATGATCACTTTAGATAAGCTATTACCAGCAGGAGAGTGGGGTGGGAGGAGGTATTGTTTCATGGTCTCTGTGTATATAATGTCTTCTGCAGTTTCCACAGTATGCATCCGATGAAGTGAGCTGTGGCTCACGAAAGCTTATGCTCAAATAAATTGGTTAGTCTCTAAGGTGCCACAAGTACTCCTTTTCTTGTAGCAGATGACTGGAGGATAGCTAAGGTAACACCTATTTAAAAAAAAAATCCGTTTTCACAATGGAGAAAGGTCAATGAGGGAGTCCCCCAAGGATCTGTACTGCGACATGTGTTATTCATAAATGATCTGGAAATGGGGATGCACGGTGAGGTGGCAAAATTTGCAGACGATACAAAATTACTCAAGATAATTAAGTCTAACACTGACTGCAAAGAATTACAAATGGATCTTACATAACTGGGTGACTGGGCAATAAAATAGCAGATGAAATTCAATGTTGAAAAATTATCCCAGCGATACATGCAAAATGTGGGGTCTAAATTAGCTGTTACCACTCAAGAAAAATTTTGGAGTCATCTTGGATAGTTCTCTGAAAACATCTTGATGTGCAGGAGCAGTTTTAAAAAAAAAAAAAGCTAACAGTGTTAGTAACCATTAGGAAAGGGATAGATAATAAGACAGAAAATATCATAATCTCACTATATAAAGGCAATGGTACACCTATGCCTTGAATACTGTGTGCAGTTCTGGTTGCCTAATGTAAAAAAAAAGATACAGTAGAATTGGAGAAGGTAGAGAGAAGGACAACAAAAATGACTAGGGGTATGGAACAGCTTACATATGAGGAGAGATTTAAAAGACTGGGACAGTTCAGTTTAGAAAAGAGATTAAGGCAGGTTATAACTGAGGTCATAAAGTCATGAATGGTGCAGAGAAAGTGAATAAGGAAGCATTATTTACTCTGTCACATAAAACCAATGAAAACCAGGGTTTTCCCAATGAAATGAATAAGCCGCAGATTTAAAACAAACATAAGGAAGTACTTGACACAACGTACAACTCATTGCCAGAAGATGTTGTAAAGGCCAAAAGTATAACTGGGTTCAAAAAAGAACTAGATAAGTTCATGGAGGATAGATCCATCGCTGGTTATTAGGCGTAATCCCAGTCTCTAAACCTCTGAATGGCAGAAGCTGGGACTAGACGGGATGAATCAATTTAAATTACCCTGTTCTGTTCATTCCTTCTGAAGCATCTGGCACCAGGACACTGGGCTAGATGGACCATTGGTCTGACCCATTATAGTCATTTTTATGTTTTATGTTAAATGGAGCTAAAGTTGGCTGAGGAAAGCCTGGTCTGTGAGAAGAAAAGGTTGGAGAGAATAGTTCAGGAAATTTTAGAGCTCTGTACTGGTCTCAACATGCTTTGTGCTGTACCAGCAGAAAGGGATATTTTATAGCCTTAGGGAAAGGGTCAGTGGGTCAATATGGCCCTGAACCCATAAACAGCAAACAAGGAGTTTTGTTTTGTTTTTTTCAAACTTGCCCTCCTAGTGTGCTAGGCACTTATTTTAAAAAATAAATAAACTAAAAATTAGGATCCACCTCCAACAAATGAAACTCCCCTTCCATTTTCACACCCTTCCCCTAGACAACAACTAGAACAAAGGGGCCTTGCAGTGGTTAAGGTTAGCAGCAAGCACAACGCTGCTCTGGCTCTGCTCCTACACCCATCACCTCTGATTAGGCCCTGAACCAGTGCCTGCGATCTGGCGAACGGCTTATAAGAGTCAGGCAGCCCTAGTGCCTCAGCACCTACCCAAGCGGGGGGGGCCTGTGAGAAAACCTGGATTTGTGCTGGAAATGGCCCACCTTGATTTTCATACACATTGTAAGGAGAGTGGTCACTTTGGATAAGCTATTACCAGCAGGAGAGTGAGTTTGTGTGTGTGGTTTCAGAGTAACGGCCGTGTTAGTCTGTATTCACAAAAAGAAAAGGAGTACTTGTGGCACCTTAGAGATTAACCAATTTATTTGAGCATGAGCTTTCGTGAGCTACAGCTCACTTCATCGGATGCATACGGTGGAAACTGCAGAAGACATTATATACACAGAGACCATGAAACAATACCTCCTCCCACCGCACTCTCCTGCTGGTAATAGTTTATCTAAAGTGATCACTCTCCTTACAATGTGTATGATAATCAAGTTGGGCCATTTCCAGCACAAATCCCGGTTTTCTCA